CCCCCCCCCCCCCCCCCCCGCAGTAAATCGTCATGAGAGGCGTTGCTATCGTAACACTGGTTGCAACCCTGACAGGCCGGGTCGGCCTCTCGCTTGATGTCTACCGGGGCCAAAGCCTCCTCCTGACGGGGCATGGATCTGCGTTCGAGACCCCTCAGCCTGTATAGGCTATGCGCAATCGCAGCATTCGTTGTCGGCTGCTTGCGGCCCGGAAGAACCATTTTCAACACCCACGCAGCAACTGCGCAAAAGCTGGATACTTGCCGCGGGGCCTCGTATCTTCGGCTTTGCATCGCGGCCGACCACCCCTGCGGGGCCTTGCTGGCCTCAAACAGCGGCACAGGCTTTCAGAAACGGGAGCGGTCTGGGCTCACGGAACAGCTTGGGGCAGGTGCTAGACCAAACCCGATGTCACGTCTGCAGGCACGTGCCGAGCGAACGATGCAATGCATTCAAGACTTCAAAATTATTCGGCTACGCCCGAAACGAAGTCAATCCGATCAGTCACGGAGACAGGTCCGAGTCACAGGGTTTCGCCGGCCTGGGTATGCTCCTGCAACAGCAGTTGCTTTGTGATGGACATGAAGGAGAGCCCTTTGGCACAGCAGTTCAAAGGCTCCGAACCCTCGTTTTGCTGAGGTCTTATAAGAGGCGCCTGTTGAGACTTTCCCAGGAGGCCTGCAGGCTCTCTTTGGTCTGTTTTTGTTGGCGGTACACGTGAGCCCCTGTCTTCGTGCGGTGGATTGAGGTGAGGCAAGCCAAGGCCCATTGCATGCAAGCTCTTCGAGAAAGTTCCGGCGTCCTGGGTACGGGCTGTAGGTAGCCATGTCGCACCTGCAGTGTGGCATGAGCGGCCGGCGAAGTCACACCATACTGCGATCTTTTGCGGCGTGTGCAAACGAAGTCAGATTTTGCACGGACCTATACTCTGGAGGCACACATCTGCTGATTCCGAGTTTGTTCATCCCTACCCGATTCAGAAGATGCGATTCTCAACATGCCCAACAGCGTCTCCCCGAAAAGAAAGGCACCTCGTCCGGGAGAGGTCCTCCGAAACTGAGCCAAGAAGGTCGCTGCAGCAAAAGAACACTGCTCCACTACCAACCCTGTACTCATCTGATTTCAGCTCTCGTTGCTTTGCTTGCCTCGGGTTTGGTGGATCGTGAAATCCGAAAATCCAATACGGCCCAACTGGCTGCGGCGGCTTGGCCCGTCTAGGAAGAGGCCGGTTTAGACTCAATGATTGCGGGGGGGGGGGTTTTCAATTGGCTTTGTTACACGACCGAAACGGCAACAGGCTCATCCTCTGAAGGTTCGGCGTGGCCCTCATGCAGTAAGAACTCTCCCGATGCCGGGGAACCTGCAAACAAGCGATCATTACACTCCAGGACCTCAAGTTCTGCTGACCCCCTTTGCAACATCGCCGGCTCTCCCGAAGCTTCCCAAATGTAGATGCACCATCGGCGGTCTTTTGCTCCAAGGGGTGAAACGGCTCACTCGTCCAAGCCCAAGAAAGTGCTAGGCACCACGACTTCGGCCTCGACACAAACAAGAGTGGTCTCAGGGCCAAAGAGTCCTTCGGTCCTGCGATCTGCAAAAAATTGCCCGCTTCCGCCCCCAGATCTCCCTGAAAGCTGTACCGTTCCCCTTGGGACCCGCGCTTCGGCTCCGCTCTTTCGCTTCCGGCGCTGTGCCTGGCCAGGAAAGGACTCTCAGAGGCGAGACTTGGAGGCGCTGGCTCCAGAGGCGGCTGCGCCTGCGGCTTGCGCGCAGGTCGCAGGGACGGCCGGACAGCCCATCGGCATGCCGGGCATCGCCATGCCGGGCATAGCCATGGGCATTGCCTTGTGGACAGGGGGGTGCGCCTGATTCCGATTCTCAGGCGCACGCTCCCAAGCAACATGCTGCTGAGTTAGGACTGCAGGAGCCCGCTGTGGAACCGAGCCCCGAAAGAACATCCCTTTTGCCACGTCCAAAGCTCATCACAGCCAAGCTGCTACGGGCATTGGCATGAAGCCCATTCCCACGGGCATTCCGCACAGGCCGCCCATCGGCCTGCAGATTTTGAGTCTTTTGCGAAGCTCTCCGGTCTCGGGTCTGGGAGTCTGGGTCTGCAGTGGAAAGGGCTAAGGCTAAGGGGGCCCAGAGGCTTGGATGTCTTGCAAAGCCAACGACCACAGCTGAAAGAGCTCGTCTCCGTTTCAGTATAATACATAGACACTTGTGTGCGGTTGTACCGTCTTCGCACATTTCCTCTGGCGGAGAGATACTGTAGGCTGACGACTGCAGCACAAGCCAAGCTATCCGAAGCTGAGCGGCATCATCCCCATTCCCATGGGCCCCATGCCAAACATCCTGGGATCGCAGTTACATCGAGGCAGGTTGGATCTGCGGGGAATTTTGGGGGCGAGGAAGGCTCGGGTGCGCCTTTGCATGCGGAGGTTCAGAAGTGCTTGGACTCCAAGCTGGAAAACGAATGTCTGATCCAGCTCATACTCGAGGAGCTTTTGAGGACGGAAACTCCAGGAGCCACTGAAGGCTTTGAGGGACGTCCTTCTCACGGGTTCGGAACTGGAAGTGTTCGTGGGAGCTTTCGGCTTGTCATGCGAGCACGTCCAGGACAAGCTCTGCGAATTCAATGGCAGAAAATTCACTACCACTGCTTTCGACCTGACTTGGAAGAGTTTATCTCAGCAATTTGTTCAACAAAGTGCTTGTGCTCACCGTTGTTCAGCTTTCACAGACCTGTGCTATGTCGGCTTTCTTGCGACGCAAGTTTCAGGCCCGGGAGCATGCCCGAAACCGGCCCATCGTCGCTGTCGCTGCCCTCACACAAATCATAAACACATTGCGAAGAGCCGACTGTGCCTCGTCTTCGCGATGATGCGACTTCTGAGACATAGGTTTCTAGTCTTGACGGAAAGAGTCAGAAGTGCCGTGCTTTGGCATCGCTCAGGAAACAAGTTTGGCCACAGCAAACTGAACTTCCACAAGCACTCGTCTGGAGAAGTCCTGCCAAGCAGACCATCCGTCCAAGCGAGTTCTGAAAACCCAATGAACCTACGCGCAAAAGTAATCGTGGCTGAAGCCGTGTGCGTTTTGAATATGTGTCCGTCAATCGAACTTAAATTCTCCATCTTCCCAAGTCTGAATCTTCGCTCCTGCGCACCGTGAGCCTGAACTCTAACGTCTAGCTCCTACAATGGCCAGCCCCTCCTCGCCCTTTGGCTGCACTGGTGCGGCGCCAGGCGGCCCCTGGTCACAGATTGCTACTGTGGTCATTAGCGCTGTGCTGCGATGTCGATACGATTCTGAGTGTCACGACATATGCCTATCCCAGAAATTTTGGGTGGCCTAGGAATCTGAATGCTGTTACATCTGGATGGCTGAGGATGGACGGTATTCTGCCACAAACGCCCGAAGTCTGAAGCGAAGAAGCGTTTTCTCGGCATCCACACATTTCATGCTGGGACTTGCTCCGAGTGCAGTGGGACAAGTCCTTTTGGGCAGCTTCCTTCATTTGGTCGCCACGGGATACGAACGAGTCGCTTTGCGGCTTCGGGGGGCTTCTTCTTCGCGCGGTGGTTTTTCGGACCGTCCTCGACCTGAGCCGCGCCTTCGCCCCAGGCTGAAGTAAGCCCTGCAGCTTAAGCCCTCCTGGCCGACTCGAGGATGCCCCGCCAGTGCCTTCTTGGCCTTAGCCTTGGCCTGCTGTGTTGCCCGAAGCTCTGCAGAGAGCCGGCGCTCAGTCTTCTCAACCTCACGACTCAAACGCACTTCCCAAGGCTTTTGGACACGTGCGAGATTTACAAAACATGTTCCTGCAAGCTTGTCCTCGCTCTTGGTTGGATGAGTGCGGGGACAGTGTTTCATGGCTGTGGCGCTCAACCCATGAGAAGCGCATCAGTTGCATAGGAAGAAGGTGTGTAAGCAGGTGATTGGGGAATCGGGTTCGGTCCATTACTGCCGTTCCTGTTGATTTGCTTTTGGCTGCGCCCCGCGGGCTGCGGAACTTTTCTGCTTCATATGTATGCCGAATCATACGTTCACGAAGGCTGCAGAAATCCCCAGCTCTGGTAAACTCCACTTGAGCATGAAGTAGCGGGCAACTGAGGCATCAACCACCTCCACCTCCTCGATGAAGGCATCGTAGAGCTGTTTCTTTCCAACCACCCTGGCCAAGGAAAATCTCTTCACCCTGCGAGTATGACTTTGCACGGCCTGCCGCAGCCAGAAGAACTACTGCCCACAAGCCGCAATCTCGAACACCACCGGCTAAGCGCAGGCCCTGCGATCGCTGTAAAGGGGTAGTCCAGACGTTCAAGCCCGAAGACTCGCCAGCTGCACTCGACGATTTCGCCATCTCGGTTCAGTCTGAGGCACTCCTCTGCAAGCACCAACCAGATTTCAGCGCTCGGCACCAGCAGTTTGCGTGAGCAACTACGTATGACGGACTTCCGTGCCTGGTGTCCTGGAGACGCGGCATAATACTGTATTGTATCAGGGGTTGTGGCGATTGTCCTGGCCTTCAGCTCCACATAGGACTCTCGGTTGTCCCAGCCCACGCGCTTGTCAGCAATGGTCCCTTCAAAGTCTAGACGCTCCTGCCGCTGAGTCTTTGGGCAAGAGAAGTAATGGAGATCGTGGTTTACGGGGATGAGTGTTCATGTCCATGCTTCATCCGCATTTTCCTCGTAATGGTGATCAGTCCTCTGTGGGAAATCGATGCTCCAACGCTGCTGCTCTGTCTTGACACCGTAGGGACGGCAGAGCCCAAATTCAATTTCACTTGCAGCCCGATCCAAGCCCTTTGGATTTGGAGTGTGGTCCTTGCACTCCAGGGACTTTGACAACCCTGAGCTGCTGATGTCTCAAGCTGCGGCTCCTCAAAGACACCGGGGCCTTTCTTCTCCCGATAGCGGATGGACACGTGCGCGCCTGGTTTCTTCGGTCTTTTCTGACGGAGGGCAGAAGTCTTCGCTTTGTGCGTTTCGGATCCAGGTTAACGGCTGCTTTCTAAAGAAGCAACTCCATGACCAAGATCCGCACACACGCTCTGATGTCTTGGGACCCCGGCCTAGGCGCAAGCCCTTGAGAAGCATCCGCCTTTGCCCTGGGCCCTTGCCTTGCAGTTCGAGGCTCAGGCCGAGTTTGCACACTGTAGTTAAACTATAGCTTGTGGAATCTGTCCAGATGCAACAGCAGGACAGTAATGGATCATGGCCCCGGAAGTCGCCAAATGATCTGCTATGCTGTCTTGCGACCCGCGAGGAAAGTATGAGAGTAACCCCATATCTCCGAACCTACGCCTCCGTCTGAAATGTCCGGAGCCTGCATGAACCCTCTAAACCCCCAGACATTGATCTCCTGTGCATTTTGGCCTTCATGCCTGCCACTTCACCCTCCGCCTTAATGCCAAACTCTGACAGCCTCAACAGAAACCTTTTCAACTTCCGGACCTCCCCGTGGGGCTGCACCGGCGACCCCGCCGCAGGGACCGGAGGCCATGGCGCAGAAACTTTCTGGGCCCTGGGCCTTTTCAACGGGTTATTCGCACAGGGCTGTTAGGGTGCTCCCGGGCGGGGCGGACCGAAGTCGCGGGCTTCTTTCCGGGTTTGACGCTTGGACTCAAAGCAACTTCCGTTACACGACAAGAAGAGGGAGCGACTTGGACTCAAAGGATTTCAGCACCTCTGCTGTGTGGACTGCATGACTTTAGAGCTGGGGAGCTTCTATTGGTGCTTTGGTCAGCGGGGCTCACGCGACTAGGGTTGGCTTCGTTGGGCGTTGGGGCCAGTACTTCATGTAGTAGCCGCCATCAGCTTGTGCTCTGAGCCCGAATTCAACACGGACCGTCTGCAAGCTTTTAAGGATCCCGGTACCATTTCGTGCATAGACTGAACTTCTGATTTCCGATCTTGCAGGCTTGCAATCTTGAATCCTCCGGAGACTGCATCACTCAAGTTTCGGATGTGGGGTACTCTCCATTTCAGGTCTCCTGCAACCCAAGCATTTTCTCTGTGGTGCCACGAATCGATGCAGGAGGGTCCCAGAAGCCCACGTCTAGGCGAGGCCTGAGCTGGCAAGAGCAAACACATCTTCAATTGGACCAGTGAACTCAATCAATCATTGCGAGCTGTTAGTTGGTTTGCCAGTTGTAGAGTTCCAAAGAATGCCGCTTGAGCTGTGTTGGCTTTTTGCTACATTCAGGCTCAAAATGCTCTTTTGGTTTCTGGATTAGGCTTGGGGTTAGGCTGGATGAATGGGACCTTTGTCGCAACTCCGCGTGTCGTTTGCGGCAGGGACTCAAATCGAATCCCGTCTTGAAAGAGAGCAGGAATAAATCTCACGCAACGACACCCCAATACATGATGTTTCCCTACAGTACGTATTGCAGTTGGACATCTTTCAGCCAAACATCTCCCCTGCAGCCAAGCAGCCGCCCCCGCCTACAGACTCCAAACCTTTCTGCACTTTACGATGCTGCTCCTCACGGCAAGCAGGTTCGGGCACCATGCGCGATGCAAAGGCGAGAACGGAATTTGCGATGTGCGACAAACATCCACGCGTATGTTCGGCTGGAGGCCAACAAGTCTGAACCGTCCTCTCTCTTCTGGATGAGGCCACGCTCATGGAGAAGCGACTCGGCCTGCAAGCTTTTCGATGGGTCGACATTTTGGACAGTCCCTCAGTGCCAGACTGTCGTTGGATCCGGTTGCGGATTTCGGACATGCACAACTGGACAGACTATGCCCGCACGCCTGGGATCCCATTGCCGCAGCAACTCGCTGTTGCTGCTCCTGCAAAGATCTTGAGGCACCATCGCCTTATGTAAGCTTCGGCAACGTTGAAGAGTCTGGACGTGGACAAAATCCAGATTACCAAAGAGCCTGGCGACTTGCCTTCAGCTGTCTGCCTGAACCTCTAGCCTTTCAAGTCCTGCGTTCGCTGTTGGTTGGTCCGGATGATGGCCTCAAGCTCCTGCAGCACAAAATGCATCTGCTGTGCACGCCTACTGAAAGTGCGACACAAAAGGATATGCAGAGCCACGAATGTCAAACAGCATGACGACCGCTGTCGCAAAGCGGCCACAGCACGGCAAGGGCTGACCGTGGCTCAGTACCGATCAAAGCTCTCCTGCTTCGACCTCTCCTCTTGATCTCGCTCGTGCCTGAACTCTTCTATCCTGCCACGCCATGTGGTCCCCCTTCCCAACCACCGCCACAGTACCATCAGGACTCTGGTTTCAATGACTGCAAGGAACCAACGCGGGCTTCGCCCGTTTCTGATGGCTGCTGGCTGTTTCAGCTTCGAGCTTGTTGTATTCTCTGTGTGTGGGTTGAGGCGGTCATGTCAGGTGGCGCTTAAAACCAAAAAGCCTAGGCTGATAGAACTGCCGCTCTCAGAAAACTCTAGCCGCGCCTTCAGCCCTGAGCCCTTACTTGGCAAAAAGGGGAGCTCTAGGTCATCCTGCGCGGCAAACCCATGCCGGACGGTCAGCTTCTTCTTCTGCATGTCAATCTCGATCTTTACAAGACCTGGCATCCCGGTCTTGGGCTGAAGACTCCGACAATGGCCAACTATCTAACTGTCTTGCGTGCTTCAACCTGGGCTGGCCCTCCTTGCTTCAAAGGCCCCTTAAAATCGGAAATGCTGAATCCGCATCCTCGAGCTCCGAGCACCGGGCTGAAATGCCGATCTAGCTCGCCTCGTATCTTCTCCTTCCGGTATCAAACAAGTCTGCAGAAAAAGGGGTCTCGAAGTTGGTATGTTTGCGCCGGGGGAGGGGTCCTACTACTCCAAGAGGGTTGGCTGGTGTCTTGTTTGCGCTACTTGAGTGCTCATATGAATGCCTTCGTGTCTTTCCGTGCAAAGCAAGTAGACAAACCGACAGTTCGTTTTTGCATAAAACGGATGCATAGGCCGTTACATAGAGACATAAGCCGCTGCGCAGGGGAAGGCGCATAGATTTGTAGATAGATGGGGAATATGTTATTGATAGATGGATGCGATGAACCAAGATGGAGCTCAGTATCTGTATCACGCCAGCTGAGGTCATCATCGAGTGATTGTTGGCCTGCACTGGCATCAACGCCCTGCTCTGTCCCTTGGGAGCTTGCCGGCGAGCACTTGCTACAAGAGAAATTCACCTGATGCTCATACCATGGAGGAATGAACCCGAAAAGCCTTGCCTGAATCGTGGCTTCGAAGTCCCTGTTGTGGATTCGCTCCTGCACGCGTCTCTGCACCTGCGGAACAGGGCTAGTGATGATGGCTATAGTTTTGTGACTCCGAGCCTTCCTAGATCTCTGCGAAGTTCCAACATAATCCCGCGGCAATCGATCCAGCGCCAGTGCCAACTGCTAGACGCCTTTCGTCCCCTCGGCCCGGAGTCCGAGAGTGCAAAACTTTGGGAGGTTCGGGAGGACCAGCCGACTGCAAGGACCCGAGAAGCCAGACAACTCCGCCGGCAAAAAGCCGTCCCAAAGCCCCAAGCGAGAAACAATCCTTGGCCCTCGACTGCGTGCAGACTTTAAAGCTGTGCCCCGTCCGGGCCTCCTGCTCGAAACGCTTCGCCTGGGCCTCCTTCTGCTCCTTCTCGGTCGCTTTGCGCTTGCCCTTTCGCGCCGGTGTCGTGAGATCAGGCACAAGAATTACAAGGAAGACTGCTGCTGCTGTGTAAGCTGCGCATGTTGCTGATGGCCATGATAATCATCGTCGTCATCATCACTACACCCGCTGGAACACATCAGTCATACCTTTAAACGTGCTAGTTCTCTTTTAAAGTCTTCGCCAAGTGTTGTTTTACAGGGTTCATGGCTTGGGGCAGTTTGAGGAGTTCAATTCAAAGAAGAGCCTCTGATTTCCCTGAGAGTGGGGCAGGGTGGAGTCAAGCAATACTCTTCTTGCCCTTCGCAAAGGCACAGTTGTTGGAGGGACTGACTAACGCTCTTCTGGACCCTGGCTCCCGCATCACCAACAAACCGATACCTCGGAATGATCCATGTGTACAGTATGACATCACTCAGGGACGTGAGTCCAGGTTTGCCGGGGCAACCTCGCCTTGGCCTTTTGCGGTGAAGACCTCGCGGTGTCAAAGCTTTCTTCTAGTTGACTTCCGTGGAAGGGAAGGTGGACCGCTTTTCAAGTTGGACTCTTTCTATTCAACAGTGAGCAAGTTCAAGGTTGCCTACTCAGACACTAAGTTGCAGAGGCGGACGGGGGGATTGTGGAAGTGGTAGCTAGGTCTGAGCACTGGAGCTTGAGGCTCTGAGTATAGCATCTCGCGCGATCACTTCAAGAACAGCTGTCTCTGTCAAGCTTTCTCATGCCACGAAGTGCTTGTTAATCTTGCAGGCCCACAACCTTCGCGCCTTAACATGAGCATGTTGGAGCTGCTTCACGGCTAGGCTGGCTACGTCTGGAAACAGGTTGGTTGGGCTCCGTCCTTAATCCTTAATCCTGCACCACACTGCCCCATGCCACTTCCAGACACATTCCGGAAGGCTTGCGCCGACACGATTCCCATTTCAATATGAACGGATTTGGAGTTCTTTCTACCGCCACGGTAAGATCCGCCAAAACCGCCACAAGCCGGTGACTGAAAGAGGTCAAGATCAATTGCTGCTGAGTGAGGTAGACAACGGGCCCTAAAGACACATAGAGGCCTCCTACCACAAAAGCTTTGGAAGATGTAGATCAACGCATCACCCAAAAAAACAACCACAACATCTGGGTCCTGGCAAGTAAACCGCCAACAACACGTAGTCTACTATGGGACAATCAGCAGTTGCTCATCCTGACATTGCTTTACATGGACCGGCATGAGAGAAGAACATGGTAGCCAATCCGTCAACTGCCCTTTCGAGGTCTGAAGTTGCACAGCAGCCGAGCATCGAACCTCCGGCGTCGTCGCGCGTCCCTGACACAAGTCGTTTTTGACGGTATGGCGCGGAACCAGGCAACGAAAAACGCATTAGCAGGCTTCGTGCAAGGCAAGTCACACACCCAAACTCAAAGTCTGAAGCGCGGGCTTCAGGGTGCTCAGCCACTTAGCCTTCTGATGCAACCCTGGAGCCCAGCCCGAAGCCAACGATCCTACGCAAGACAGGCGCCGCAACCTCCCGCGATCCCGGGACCGAGAACGAGCCATCGCTTCACTGACGATTGTTTAGCTGTGTTCTTCGGAGGCAGACGGATGCTTTTGGAGTCAGGCATCTCGAAGGCTTGGGACGCCTTTGGGTGTTGGCTGCCGTTTTGTTGCTTCAGGCATCGTTGGATACATGCAGACTGCTTGCCCAAGGCCCGAAGGCATGACAAGGCTTTTCGCAGGTGGATGGGGGTGAATGAGGGGTCATGGGATCTGAAGAGCTGGACCGAGGTCGAGCGGGAAACGGCTTGCGAATCCATGGCAGCAACATCGGAATGCCTTCAGCTTCACCCTACCAGCGCATGAAGGGTTCAAGTTCAAGGACCTCTTGACAGCAACTGATGCACTGGCATGCTATGAAGCAGTGCAGCAGCATTTGGATCTTTTGCTTTCGCATTGGCCCCGCAAGGTTGTGACACAACATACTACCTGTCTTCCGTTGGTAGTCTCTAGCTCGACTGGGTGATAGGGCAGGGTCCTATAAGTCGACAAGGCCATAGTGGTTACATTGCATTCAGCTTGGAGGCTAGATGCCCAGTATGCCCATTCTTGCCACATAGCATGTGTACGTCTGATGATCTAATTTACCATTGTCAGCGACTTGTTTCGGGAGCGGCTCACTTTGAGGGTGCACTGCAGCTGCAACATCGTCGAATCCTCTCGTGGGAAGCCGTCGTGTGCTTCATGCAAGGCATGAGTGGAGGCTTTTGCTCGGATCGCGGGCTGTACAGTCTCTTTTTTTGTGATCAGGGGTCAGGGTTTCATGCCGCAGCAGGCGGAATGATCACGTCGACCTACCATCTGGATCTTGACACTGCAATCGTTGTTTGAGGTTTCGTCTTTGAACCAAGCCTGGAGCGGGTCCTCAGCCAAACATGTCAAAATCATCCTTCTCCACGGCTTTATCAGAGAAGACCTCCTTGCTCGGCGCCGTCGGCTTCATGACCGGGCTTCCCCCATCCTGCATGGCTCTTGGGTCTCTGGGACGTGCGGTCCTTTTCTGGCCGTGGGGTTAGTTACTCTTCCGAACCATCAGTGCAGATCTGTTGCCAAACGCGATCGAGTGACTACACCTTGCGCCACCATCTGGCGTCTCCTTTCGATGTACCTCGGAGGGGGGTCTGATGGCCGGTTCTAGGAACACTAAACGCTGCTGAGAAGCGGCTTTACATCCGAAGACTCAGGACAGAAGGTCCGAACTCCAAAACATCATGGCAAGCCAATGCCAAAAACAGGGACCCGAACATGAGACTACTCTATGGACCGCAACCTCGGACAAAATGACAGTACACGACTCGCATCTCAGAGTTGCCGTGGTGTGTGCTTGTCGGCCCACCCGAATTGAACGACCAAGGCGGTCAAGTTCCTTGGATCCAGGGACATGGAATTAGAAGTCAGGAGGGTATCTCAGGTACAGCGAGAACCCGATGAAGCATCATGAACCAGGGCTGCAGGCCTTCTGCAGCACCTCCATAATTGCCCAAACTCTCCAAAGCACCGAACCTAAAGCATCAAAGTGAAGTCACTATATATTATGAGACGACCAAGTTTCTCGTCGCTGCCGGCCTGAAACGCCGTGCGCACGATATTCTTTGCGGCTTCTTCTGAGTCAGCCCAATGTTTGCCTCCGGGCGGTCTCTTGGAGCTTGATGGGGCAATTGGGGGCAAGTTGGCTTCCATAGCCTCGGTGTCGTCTGTGTACATGCCTCTATCTTTCAAAAAAAGTTCTGCAAGGCTGCCCGAAGGCTCCTCCTACACCCCAAATTGTGACTTTCCAAATCCACCTCCTCAAAACCGAACAGCCTGTACTCCAGTTTCTCCACCAAGTTGCTGGCACAGTCTATCACGTCTTGGTTGGAGAGGACTCTTGTGACCTCGTGGAAGAGTCCGCCATGGGAGATCCAAGAGATTCAGGGAGCTTGGCTTCTAATTTTGCAACCCTGTTCGATGCATGGCTCGTGGAAAGCTTTGCTACCAAATCCCAAGCGGATGGCCCCCTCGGTAACGAGGACGATGAAGAGGTCCTTGTCGGAAATCGGCAGGACCCTGACCTCCGGGGTTCACCAAGAACCTCTTCTGGTCCACACCGATCTAAACTATCGAAACAATTTGCAAACTTTTTCACATGTGTAAAGATAGAAATAATTTTGTATATCGGTTATAAATGGACTGGGAAAACTACAAGTAAGTGGTACTAATTTTGAACAAAATCCTATACATCAGAACTGTTTGCATGCACTACAAATTAACTGCGTGGAAAAACCTTGCTTTCTCGAACTTGTATTGATTGAAAACAAATTATGCAGGACTGAAATAAAAACCATTCCCCATTGTGTTACACAGAGCGGTCGAACTTTTTGTTCGAAACTCCATTCTTTCGCACCAAAGTCTGAAGAGTTTTCGTACCCCAACCCACCCAAAACCGAGAATTGGACTGCACTTTGTTTAAGGAGGCCGTCTTTCATGCGCAAAGTGCGGCTGGATCGCTTGTTTCGTCGCCCAAAATACCGAGAACCGAGCATCGCAGGATAGGAAAGGCATGTTTACACCACTCCCTCCGAGCCCTCTCCCCTCCCCTCTCCGGCCTCTGGGTCGGCCGCTGACAAGGCCGGGTTCTTGAAGCAAGCGTCCCCTAAGGACCTGCTTAGGAAGAGGCTGCAAGAGAGGACAACATTAAACAGGTGACACCTTTCTGCCGATCTACGACTAGCAACAGTTGGCGTGCAAGTTTGGATTCGCCCACCTGGTGATGGAGAGGCCCTGGTATTCCCGGCGCGAGGACTTTGTAGACCCACGCGGGTTGGCCGGGGCCGCGATCCGCCACGCCCCACGGACGTTCAAAACCAAGCCCCCTGCCCTCTCTATCCGCTTCCTTGGATTTCAAAGGGTTTCGGTGGTCTCATGCAACTGTTGAGGGCTGAGCGGCTTCCACGATGGCAATCCAACCGTCGCAGCACTAAACTCCGCCCAAATAGCCCTGATTGCCCTCAGTTTAGTAGGAGAAGTGGCTTCTCGTCTATCCTGTCCGGCTTGTGGTCTTCGGTGATCTGGACCGCTTGCCCGGCTCGGCAGAGGATCGCTCGAGAGTCCCCGATATGTGCAAGCACCTCGCAGGGGACAACAAAGTTCAGGCGGCGAATGTTTTCAGAGGCGCCGGGCTCAGGGCTTTGGGACCTACGCAAAGAAGCTCAATCGCCTGAGAAGCAGTCCGCTGCAAAACCGTGATTTCCGCACTTCTGTTCCATACTGCCGGTTTGCACTCAACATGGAGTTTCTGTGCTGCCACCGCCTACTACTCTGATTCGTGAAAATTCGAGGGGAGCATGTGATGCAAGAGGATTCTTGGCGCCGACGAACAACACATAAGCACATTCAGCATATTCCTCACATTCCTTGGCCTCAGCAGCTTAGAAAGCAGAATCCTAAAATTCTGTGCGTGGTTTTCACTGCAGTTTTCTTGCAGGCCGGGGCCGTCGGGGCCGCCCCGGGCAGCCCGGGCACCAGCCGCAGCGCCGTTCCCAGCTTTGGGTTGCCGTGCAGCAGCGCGCAAACGGCAGTGGAGCCGACGGAGTCGAACTTCTTCCTGGAACCAAGAAGGGCAGAAAAGATGCTGCTGCATAAAAGTGTGCATGCTCGCGCGATTTCGGCTGGTATCCTAACTCACCCCTTACTGCTGCGGCTCCTCTCTGAAAGCGCGAGGATGTCTCGATCCGTTGTCGCGAACGCCTCACGCACGGCCATCTTGATCTTCTCGTCCCGGCTTGCCGGCTGCACGGCCTTGTGTCTGGAGTGTTACAACAAAAAATGCCAGGAACGCTTCTCTTTTTGAGATGGCGTGCTGCTCCGCCATGAGCCAGAGAGCGTGTACTACGAACCGAAGTCGACAGCGACAATAACCATTCTTGGCCTTTTTCCTGCTCTGGAAAGGCTGGTCTTTCCCACGTAGATCTTCAACCCAAGTCCAGGGGTCGACTCAATTATCCAACACCTAACCCTAAACCCAAACAGACTGACTTCAAACGCATCCTGGGAAAAGGCGGGGGGGGGGGGGGGG